CTTGTTAAATTATAAAGAAAAGGAAGAATTAGTAACATAGGAGTGCCTTCATATGAATGATATATTGATATAATAACGTAAATGGGAAATAAGTTTAGTTTCTTGTATTCGATTTTTTCCACGGTGAAAGAAACTTGCTAACCCTGGTACTTGAAGCTGTTTATCATAAGATCCCATGTTCAGGTCCAGGTGAAGCTACTATACATTTTCAGCTTTTGTTACCCCTGAACTCCTTGTTTGCAAAGTTTTGTCTCTAATGTTTAGCAGACTTAATCATTAAGATATTTGGATTGCCGTATTTATTCATGTATTTTCTCTTTTTGGTACTTTTCAATTAAAACCATGAGGATGTTTCCATTAGCAGCACTTAGTGAAATTTTGGATTTGTTGGCATCAGGAGAGAGCACATATGCGCCAAACCATTGTAACGCCAGCAGATGTGGCAGTTTTCGGATAACCAGCTTTTGGCGATTTGTTTACATCCGAAGAGAGTACATGTGCACCACATTGTAGTAACACTGACAAGCAATGCAGCCTTCTTTTGTGTTAGTAAAAAAAAGAATATCCAAACACAAATGTGGTTTGTTAGATCATGGATTACTTTTGTTACTGCCAATTAATTTATTTTTGGTGTGAGTAGTTAACATCTCTTGAATTTTGCAAACCAAAGCTTTCTTCACATCAGTCATAATGGTGCATGAGAGAGGTCTGTGTGAATTTCTTGTTATCATATATAATGTAAAAATTTATGGGGGTAAAACATTGGGGAAATTTGTTTACAAAATGAAGGATTTTTATATATAGGCTGATCCTCAGGTTACTCATGGTGGGTTGCTTCCTTGTTGCCGTTCTTGATCATTCCATTTTGTAGTATTAAGCCAAAGGTGTGTGGAAAGAAATTCACAAAACTGTCAACTTTGAGCCAAAAATGTATAGTACAACTTTCACGTAAAAGTACAGTAGAATTCCAGAAATCCGCAAAGCTTGGGGCCAGAGGTTGTTTGGATTTCAGGACAGAAAAGATAAAGCATAATATTTGGACTAAAAGTGCAAAATGAATAAGGCGCATTAGATGCATTTAATTAAATTATTATATATATTATTGCAATAATTTATTATATGCATTAAATTATTATTACATATATAAATTGATTATATTCATTGCATTATATGTACACAGCATTGAGGTTTGCCAATTTCGCCTCATGCAAAGATTTCCGGTTTCGGATTCCAGTGTTAGAATCACTTTTGCTGTAAAATTTAAACAGCTTTTCTTTATTTTTCCGTATATCATACACAATCGTGTCACAATTCCATACCATTCTGCTATAAATCAAGAAGTAGCGCCTGCTTCCATCTTTTGCAGAATTTGCACTTTTTGCGTTACCGTCAATGCAATGTGTTTACGTTTTTCAACGTTCCAAGCAGTAAAATCACGAGTGTGTTTCTTATCTGTCATTGAATTAAAAAGGCAAATTAAAAATATTCTTAATTTATCTGCAAAATATTCGGATTAAAAAAAAGGCAGCACTAAACAATCTCGTGAAATGAAATAACAAAGCTCAGAAAATACAACGTGAACTTGAACAAAGAGTTGAGTGAATCGTCTGCTTTTTTACCTCGATGCAGATTAGAGGGGAAAAAACTTATTTATTTTAACTTCTTTATATCAATAATTTGGTATTTCTGTTTTGACTCATTATTATTCAGTAATTATGAGTCATTATTCGGTAAGTATTTCTTCCTTCGATATTTCGTACTCAATGTTGCGGTTTCCGGAACCTATAAACTGAATGTTTATATTCTGAGAGGCAACGCAGAGTTTCGGTACTTGACTGTACCACCTTCTTTTTACTAATTTTATTTTTCAAAATTGAATGCAGAAAATTATGCAGTCTATGAATTCTGAGGAGTAGAATTAAATAGGCATCATAGCACATTTAAAAGTATGTGTGAATAGATGGGCTGGTGCCATTATATACTATTTAATAGTAAATTGCAGATATTAATTTTAATAACATTTGTTACTCTTCTGTTATCCGGAATGGATTCAGAGATTTATGTGTGCATGTATATATGTATGTACGTGCATATGTGTGTGTATATATGCAGACCTATGCATACACATGTACATACTTACATGTATGCATTCTGAATCCGGTTCTGATAACAGAAGTGAGGATACTAAGAAAACTGGCACTTGGCGAGGTTCCGGAAATCGGGTTCGCCAACTTGTGCGATAGACGCCAAACAGTTGGAAGAGTGTTTAGGTTGCTAGCCCAGATGTAAAGTAAAACAGGGAAAAGGAAAGGGATATTTTCTTTCTATATGGTTGATACTTTGCATTGGGTGCCATGACTTTGCAGATGAATCCTTATGCTGATGATTACGTGACATTGTCAGTAGTTTGAATTCGCTGTTTAATTATTTTCTAAATAAATTAATTACTCTTGTAATTAGAATAAGATAATTTTATTTTTATACAAGAAAATTACAAAATATGCTCCTTTTCCGTTTTTTTCATGCGGCGCGCAATGAATTGGAAGTTCATCTGTCAGCACTATCCTTATCTTCAGGGCAGATATTTTTATTTTATTTGGCTTATAATTCCTTACTAAATGTAGTATTTCATCTCAATGTACTCTGTCTTTGATATGATTTAAATGAAATTCCTTGTCATTATAATTCGGTTCTGATAGTGAAGAAAGTGACACAGAGGTTATTGAAAATGAAAAAATTTCGATTGACAAATTAGTTGATGTTCTTGACACAGCAATTATAGCACTTGAACAGTGGAACTTTGTAACTGAACAAGAAATTATGTCTGTTTATAGAATTAAAGAGAAAGTATTATCCATAAAACACGCAACTTAAATAACTATATTGAAAGAATGTTTAATAAAGTAAACAAATAATATTAAGCTTTTTTTTGTAATTTTGATACCCTTTGGTCATAATTGTTCATTTTATGAATTACGGTTTCATATTTTTAATTTTAAATTTCTGCGTGCCTCTACCAATTTAAACTGAGATCTATAATCCGGAATCGCCAAGTCCCGACGATCCGGATTAACGACTTTTGACTGTATTCATGGTAAAATTAAAAAAGAGAATGAAGTTAATAATGTGGAGTATACTCAGGGTTGTGGAGTTGGGATCGGAGTCGGGCAGATTTTAGGTAAAAGGAGTAGAGCTACGTCGCTAAAACAGGTCCCTCCCGACCCATTTTTGTAGGAAGTTTGATTTGAATGAAATTAAATTTTGAAAAAGAATGACGAGCTGAGTTTATTTTTATCTATGAGCTGATACAGAAGTATTTTCTTTTATTGACATATTAATAAATATACAAAAGGAGGAGGATGGTATTTGCCACTAGTGGGTACTGATTTATTTATTACAAATCTCACTGGTAAAATGAGGTAAGCAGCAATAGCAGCAAGAACTCCTAAAATTGATGCCATTGTTAGGAAGTGAGCAAGAAAAAAAGCAATTGCTGATCAAGCAACGCGATAAGAAAGTACATATTTGATGTTAAAGAGTTTTTAGAATTAAGAATTTTTTTAGAAGAAGTAGATAATCCTAATGTTTCACTAACATAAAGACTGTGGAATGATCTTGCAGAGTTGGAAACTCTTCTTTCTACACCATATATAGCTACACAAAAAAGCTGCAATCTGAAGAATTGACAGGAGGTGAGAATAGAAGAATGGGGGTATGTTTATTCTTTCTTCTGAAATGGAGGGTTTATTGCAGAAGGAATCATTTCTTCAATTAAAGAAAAGAGAAACTAGTTTGCTAGACAATGAGGTCTTGCTGGGCTCAACATATGTAGATCCGAAACACCAAATTTTCTTGGATAACGAACAAATTAAAAATGCAAAGAAAGCCATCTATGAACTTTCATTAGAACAAACACAAGGAACAAAGAAACAACGGGAACAGTCCAAACTGCAATACGAATTGAGTCATCACATTCCGCCCAACCGTTTTTTTTATAACAAAAACTAAGGCACAGAAAAAAAAAAAACCAATCAATAAAAAATGAGAAACTAAAACAAATTCAAACAACCCACAAAAATAGAAAATAGACCCCTTTCGAGTACCTCCCTGGACATATAAAAATCTAACCCTGAAAATTAGTGCGCCTAAAAGCTCAAGTTAGTGCGGAAAGACTCTTCTCAGCTCTGAAGCTCAAATTGGATCTATGGCCCTCCAACAAAGGTCTTGCCAAGCTGTACTGTTTCTCAGAAATAACTAATGCCAGTTTTTCCATTTCATAATAAATCTAATTAATATATAATTGCTCTGCTAATCATTTTTTTTCTGTAGCATCTATTACTTCTTTTATATTAAAAAAATAAGCTGTAATCCATGTGTAATGTTTACATTATATATATGTCGGAGTCGGCCATTTTCCCTACCGACTCCACAGCCCTGGTTATATATATCAGAATATAAAATACTAAGATGAAAAAAAGTAGGTAGATTTACTTAATCACAACAATAAGTAATTGTTTACAATTTGTTCTATGTGTATACTTTACCATCTCAATGCAAATGTTACACTTTGCCTTACGCGATTTTCGCCCAGGAGAGCTTTCCCCCCGATTTTGGAAAGCGTCTTTTTTGATGCCATTTTCCTCTTGCCGTCAAAAAATTCCTCGTGAGGATATGGTGATTTTTCGCGATTCAAGATGGCGGGAAAAATTACGCCAAGTGCCGCTTATATGAGTTTTCCAAAGAAAGGTGCCTAATATTTTTATTTATGGAGTGTGATTTCCAATCTGTTCATAACATTATGTTGTAAGTTTTTAAATCACGTTTTGTAAAAAGCTAAAAAAGAAATTTGCAAGTAAATATGGTATTCTTGAAATGTTTACAGATTTTTATCAGTTCAATATTCCATAAATTACATATACAATATTTTAAAACATTTTTTTTTTCCTTTTTAATTATAAAAGTAATGTAATAAATTTTAACTGGTGTTTCACTCTCCTCAGAAGCAATGGATATGGATTCTAAGTCACTTGCCACTTCATCTACTAGAAGTACACCTAATGCATCCTCTCTGGGCCTCTCTTTGTCAAAAACAACAGGACAGCCTTTATCAGAATTTGTTTCAAAACTCGAAGGTCATATGCCTACAGTAAGTTAAAAATATTTTTTATTAATTTTTTTTGTATTTAATGGGCAAATTTTATTTTTTCAAAAATATAGTTAACACAGGGTGAAATAACAATTAAATCTGAAGTTTTCAATACTTTTAACGTTTTTTATGTGCTTAACCTCTTTATTCATATTTTAAATTATTGTATCATTTATTCTGTACAGTATGCAATAGCACTTTTTTAAAGGATATTTTGGTACTTACATACTATGACAACATCTACCAATAAAAATCTTCATTGGTGTTTTTGGTTTATGTTTATAAATTTTTTTAAAATAAAAGCCCTAATTATAAAGGAACAAAAACTTAAAAACCAAAAATCCTGAATATATATATAATATTATAAATGCATATATATATAAAAACTATATACTAAATATGAATTTAAAAAATTAAAATTCTTAAATTTGTTTAAAAGAAAACATTAAAGTTAATGGTGAGGAAAGTGGTGAGAAGTAGCTTTTAAAATAGCAACAAAAGGTGTTTCCTGTTTTTTCCACACCAAATAAATTCGGCTAAATAGGTATCCAAATGAGGGTGGCTTGTTCCTCCATTTTGCGGAACCTCAAATCATTTCAATGTGTTGTGTACGAGTCTGCGTAGATGGGTCAACAAAATTTAATCGATGATTCACCTTAAAATGTTCAAAATCTGCAGCGATGAGCTCCTTTGTTTGATATCCAGGCCACGAATCTGACATTATTGTTGAGCCTTCAGCAATATTATTTTGGATTTCATGCATTAATGTTGTACCTCCAGTCGATCTGACTAGAATTTTTCTTTGTCTCCCGCAAATCCACCAAAGACCCACTGCGGTGTCAAGATATAACTTGATTTTCTTTCGACGCGTAAAAGGCTTCGTCATTTCAATACTTATTCTGGCCCCCATTTTAATATTTCGATATCGCCAAATCCTTCCCGCACACTTCATACATATCCTTATTCCAATCATAACATCTTATCGGATAAATCCAACTGATTTGTACCATTATGACACTGTTCAGACCAAAAGTAAAAAAGCTTTAAAAATTCAATACGACAATACGACTGTTTTTAAACCATGTACCAGTTCAGACACCAAACTTTTGTTGACAATTTTTGACACTGCATCTCCAATAAAATCCTGGATTATAAAACTTCATGTCATGGCTGTGTTTTTACAAACGTGTTCTTTTGTAAAATTCCAGCCTCTCTGAAAAAATCTGTTGCTTCTTCTTCATTTGAAGGAAGTTGGAAAATGTTGATATCCACTGGGAGAAAAATAATCGCAAAAAGTTTCATGTGTTTAACCTAAACATAATAATCTAACAAAAAAAGGTATGGTAATAGCAAGTGCAGGATAATACTCTTTATTTCAGCACCCTGTATAACCTATAAGGGTCGCCAGCTTTGGCGAGATATCTAGGTAGTTGCCATAGTATGTAAGTACCGATATGATATCATAACTTAAATATAGAAAGCTTGCGTTTTAGTCTCACACTGATCAAATTTTATGAATTTTTCATTTTTTATGAAAACTACTTAAGTAATAATTCTGTATTCAATTTGACATTATTGTAAAAATCTCAAATATTGAGCTGTTTGCTGATTTATCATACTAAGTGCATAATTTTTAATTGTATTTTCTGATTATCTTATTCTTACTGAAAAGTTGAAACTAATTGGCAGATTTTTATACAGCATTTTAAACTGGTTGTCAACTTTCTAGATAAACGGGGTTCTTTCCATATTATAGTATGTCTTGGCCATTTCAAAATTTTTTAACTGACCTGCTGTGTCTAAAGAAAGAGCCATTTTCATAATGGAGAAGCACTAACATTTTCATAAAAGAGCTATCAATAAAATTATAAAAAAAGAAAAAAAAACATCAGTAATAAAACACTTTTGAAAATTCCTCCTGCAATTTTTTCATTGTTGTTTTTCTCGTGTTGTCATCTGTTTTCAAAAAAATTTTTAAAAAAAATCAGAGAAGGAAGTTGTAAGCTATATTTTTCTGTATAATTTGGGGGGGGGGAATATTTGAGACAGTGTGAAGTGGAATATTTTCAAAGTTACAGGATCTTGGCATCAAAAAAGCCACAGTAACATTGGATAAACAATGGCTATGTGCCATGCAAATGTTATGATAAGCTATTAAAGTTTTTTATGTTGCTATATCTGTAATTTATATATCTTTATTATCTAATCAAGGCCAACTATTACTATAGTAAAGGCCTGTCAGACGGCATGAACTTTCAGTCCCCAGTTTTCAGTGGGTTTTATGTTGTCACTAGTTGGTGCTCATGACTTTCTATAGTTAGACTATCAATTCCTTCTAGAAGAGTCATAGTACTTTCAGAGAAAGAAGGTTGGGAGTGGGAAAGTTTCAGTTCAGAGTTTTGGTTTACAATTAATTTAATTGGACAAGAGGCATCTGCATTAAAATGTTATGTAAGATATAAAAATCTTGAACCTGGAGAAGATGAATTAGGCATATCACCAAATTAGAATATAATTTTGAGGTTGCCCAATTATTTTTTTGACGCTTCATATTTTGTTATCTTAGGTATCCCGCCTGGTTGGGTGAGCAGGGTGGAAGAACAAGCATTAGAGCGGCAAAAAGTGAAAGATTTAATTGTGAAAATACAGAACCTATTAACTTTTAAACAAAAAATTACTGTCATAAAATACGTTTTCGTGTGCGCATTTTATGTATAACGGACGGTATAAGCTAAAGTTATCTAATTATCTATTTCAGTTAATGTTGATGACTGCGTTGTTCCTTAATCTTCGAATTGGATCCGCCTTATTTTTTGCAGACTGTAAGAGCAATTTTAAAGTAACTTGAACTTTCGATTTTCTATTTCCGATTGGAGCTCCCAAAACATCTACAAAGAAATATGTTTCGATGTCTATCAAACAAAAGGAATTGCTGCAAAAAATGGATAAAGATATGAGAAGGTGACAGAGAGGGTAGTGAAAACGAAAAATTCGATTGCAAGTTAGTCGGTATTCTAGCACACAATTACGGGACTTGAACAGGGACTTTGTGACTGAACAAGAAATTATGTCTGTTTATAGAATTAAGGGAAAGTATTATCACATAAAACGGAAGCAACTTAAAAACAACTTACATTGAAAGAAATGTTTAATAAGTAAAACAAATAAATTTAAGTTTTTTTTTTTTTTTAATTTGATACGCTTTAAATCATATTGTTCTTTATTTCATAAATTACGGTTTTCATATTTTTAATTTAGAATTTCTGATGCTTTACGAGATTTAAACTGATGATGGAAAAATCGATAATCCAGATTCGCCGAAGTCCCGACGAGTCCGGATTAACGACTTTTGACTGTATAGCTGTATCATTATTTAGCTTTTACATTTGCTACCAAGCTTAAATTTTCATGTTCTGTAACTGTATAGCATCAAGGATATATGATCCGCTTCTGAACTGAATTGATTCACTTTACTGAGTGAACAAATGGCAATTTAACGAAGTGAACGGGAACTCCTTCGAGAGCTCTTGTTGGAAGCATACCAGGAAAGCTGAGTGTCAGTTAGGGAAGAAAGGAGTGTTTACCTTATGATAAAAGCGAGTTTAATTTTTATCAATTTCCAACTTTTTTCAATATTTTTTCCCCTCCAAAAATTTTGTTAGTTCTATGTCAAAAGGAGATTTTAGGAAATATCAGAATTGCAGTCAAAAGATATCGGTTGAGGGAACCAGCAGTTTGCCAAAATTGATTTTTTCATGCTTTGCTCCATTCCTGTACGCGATTCAGTTTCCAATCCTGATTTTATTCATCAAGTTCATAAGTGATGGGTCCTGAAAAAGCACTCATTCAGTTAAATGAACAAACAGCTCTGGTGGTGTATTTAATCATGGCAAAGCACACTAGGGCTATCTGTCTAAGGGGAGGGATGCCTTCGTGGAGGACTTTCTAAGGGAAACTGGCTTGTATACACGTTACACATGGGGAAAACCACGAAAACACCCATGCAGCCAGCCCGTTTGCGGGATTCAAACAGTTCTGATTTGATCCCACAATAGAGCAGTTTTGCCTACTTCTGGATACCACAACTTTAATTAGCACTCTTCTAAAATGTTAACAGGGTTCGTTGCGGTCCTTATAAGTGCATATAAGTCCTTATATTTGAAAATAAAATATAAAAGCCCTTATAGGTGCTTGCTTTTTCTTTAAAGCCTTTTTTTTTTTTTTTTTTTTTTTTTTTTTTTTTTTTTTTTTTTTTTTTTTTTTTTTTTTTTTTTTTTAATGAACACACTATTTTTTTTTCTCCTACCAAAGCCGAAACTAAAAAAAAACTTTTCTCCTATATGGAATGTCAGATGGTGAATCATACTCCCGATATAGCTTTTCTTCTTTCTCTGCATTACATAACTTTGGTGTCACGAAGAGTACAGGAGGTGTTATCATTATATTGGTCATAGAATTGCGAAAGCAGTAGAAATTCCGGTACGTTCGGCATTCTTTTCCTCCCACCCAAATACTACACACATTTGAATTTCTATCAAGATCTAATAATTTGCATTCTCGTTCCACGTGATCAGTTCAATTCATGTTTTATTATCATCGTTATGCTTATATTATGAGCATTGTTGAATGTTGTACTAACATAGTTGCAGTAACTGATGAAGTATAGTAAAACTTTTAAATGTTTGTGTTTTAAACACAGATTAGCTTTCTAAGGAATAATTTCGGAATGGCTTAAATAAAGGGAAAGTTCGATAGTAAAAATAATTTTGTTTTTTGGCCAGTACATTATCAGTAGAAGATTGGGAGGTTTCGCCCCTTTCTTCTCTCTCGCAAAATCTTGAATTTGACTGTTACTTTTTTTTGTTTTTTTTTGTTTGTGTGTGTGTGTGTGTCACTTTCCAATCTGGATTGAATAGGATAAAGTTCTGCAGTCTACCAACCCAAGCAAAGAGATTATTCCATTCCGGAAATTTACGCCGTTCAGAATTTAATTTAAATTATTTAAATATCAATATGAGTGGAAAAATAATTGTATTTGTTATTGGTTCCAAGCGAATACAATAAATGCTTATTATTATTATTTATTTTCTCTATTTGAACTGAAATTTCATCTTGTAATATAGTTAGTTCTGCAGTTTTTTTTCCTCTCATTTAAACTAGTTCTGTAAATTGACTGTTATTTAAAATTTAAAAAAAAATAAAATAAAAGTAATTATTTCCTGGTTGAGGTAATGCTTATTCTCTCTTAATAAATACTGCATTTCTCATATTTTAAATTACAAGTCTAATTTTTAAGGTTATGCTGTTGTGTATAATATAATTAGACAGGTGCTTTTTTTTTTTTTTTTTTTTTTTTTTTTTTTCTTTCTTTCTTTCTTTCTTAAAATGTGCTTGAAAAGTGCTTATAGATGCTTATTTTTTTAACAAAAATGTGGCTGTGAACCCTGTGTTAAGCCCTGACCAGCAGTTGGGTAATCCTGAAAAATGCATGTCTGACAGGATAAACTTCAGGCATGGAAGGTTTACAGCTTTTATATCTGCATTTTCAAACTATACGTGTGTCATGATTGTTTTCTTTGATGTCTGATTTCATGAATATCCTTTAAAAAAAGTTCACTTGCTTATCCACACTGTACTTTTATTTTTATTAATATTGAGAATCTGTCCACTGTGTAAAAGCAGAATTAGATTTATTTTTTTCATCTGTAATAATCTTACTGCACAATAGAAATAAGTCAAAAAAGAAACTTTGCAAGTCATATATTGCTAATAAAAAACAAAAAGGAGCATTTGGTCACGTGAATCCTATCATTATCTGCATAGTATGCCATGTCTAGTATTATGTAAATAATAATATTTCATTGGCCAAATTACTTGCATAAGTGTTTATAAATTATTTTATGAAAAAAACGTGTGAATGAAAAATCTAATGAAATATTCAATGTAACTTTCTAATGTGTATTAAATATAACATATTTGTTAGTGATCACTATAACAAATATACAACTGATGCATAAAATGCTCAGTTGTCTTTTGATTAACAAGCAGGCATTTTCATGATAAAAATTTGATACTGATATTATTAATATGCATTAATCTGTAATGTTGTTGCATAGCAATGCATCTTAGAATTGCTCTAATAATTTTTCATCTAATTCAGATACCAGATCCTGTTGTATCAGGTTATATGCATTCAGCTGGTTTTCAGACAACAGATCCACAAGTGTAAGTTTTTCAGACAATTATCTGTACTAATTCAGCTTTTATATATTTAAAATTAAATTTTCACAGTGCAAAAAGGAGTTGTTTAATCCCCAATTTGGTTTTTGTGAAATGATCATTTTGAATAGTATGCTTTATGTTTTTATGAGATTTTGCTTTAAATATTATTGAAACTCATTTGATTTTATACTTGTTGAACACAATGTGATAATTTTATGAAAAGGAAAAGAATTTATAATAAGCAATTAAAATTACAAAATGGTTTACTGTTTGTCAGTTTTACCAGTTTAAAACTGCATACATCTTTTGATACCCTTCATAGAGTATTCCCTACTTTTATTTTATGTTCCAAACATCAAAATGTTTTAAATAAAATACATGTTTTATCATCCACATATTATCATTTTATTTTCATAAAACTGAAAAATAATCACTTTGGGTTAACTAAGAAATTTTAAAAAATAAAGTTCTGTCTCTCTTTTTTAAAATTTTATTTAGCATGTTTAACTGATAACTAAATGTAATACAAAATTCTTGAATGAAATTCTTATTCATTACATATGCTTGAGTAGAGGTCTGCTATTTTTGAAAGAGTTTCAAGACATGAAAAAACATCATCAATGTTATTAATCAGTGTAGCAATATACTTTGCATATTGTTGCCTTCTAGATTGCCTCCCAGTATGAAAATTTCAGGTATTTGTGAATTTAGACCAATTAGTTGTTTTAACTGTTTTAAAAAAATGAACTAATATTATGTAAAGACAATTGAGATTGCAATCTGATGACGGTGACATTAATGTTTAAATGTGAAATGGACAGTTATTATTTGTTATATTATCAGAGAACTATTAAACCGGGTAAAATGTATTTTCTAGAAAATCTGAATTTCATAATGAATAGCTTCTAAGAAGTGTTTTCAGTCAAAAGTTAGAAACATGATATCTAGATGTAAATATAAAATTATGCACATTAAAATATTTGTAATTAGGCATATATGTCAGGTTAAGTTTTTATTAAATAGGGTAAGGCATGTAAGGGCTGTCTGCTTAAAGGAAGATATGCCATCATTGAGAAATTTCGAAGGAAAACTGAGCGGGTATTAAAAATAATGCATGTAATTTTCATTCAAATTATATTTATACACATTTTTTATAACAACATTCTAGTATATGCTAAATTATTGTAAATAACTTTACTTGAAAAAGATAGTGATTGCAAAGAAATTAAAGATTTGCACACACTGATCCTTATCCGAATAAAATCAAATTACCTCAAAATTTTTTATTCTAATGTAATTAACGAAAACTTGTGAAAATATTTCATTCAAATTAAACTGTTCTGGAAAAAATTGAAGCATTTAATTCTATTCAGAATGAAATGTTTAAAAATGCATTCTTTTCACATACTTGGGACTCTGAAATATTGTGGAAAAAGAAAATATTACATATATTTACGACGTAATTACAAAATGTTTACATCCGATCTTGTCAAAACCCACTGATCTTAATGGTAAGTCACTGAATGTTTTGGTCTCTATGAAGGGATCACCGCTGCTTCAAAGCAATGAATCGGGAAAACCAGTTAGGACCTCTCCTCTTACTTCGTACCTCCATGACAATAAAGGACACAGAAAAGTAGAACATACTCTAAAATAATTTTTTTAAAAGTTTTTTAAAATAATAATAAAAAAATTGTATACAGTACAAAGTCTCAAACCCTGATGTCCTATGTTTGGAATGATCTAAAATCTGGACCCTAGATCACCAGCAACTTTTTTGCCCCTCCCTTTTACACTTTCAAATTTGATACTTTTTCATAATAAATCATATGGAGAGGGCCAATTCTTAATTTCACTTTGGCCTTGACGCTAACCTGGCAAATCATTATTTGTTATTTTTTGCTTTCACCACTGCATGACAATAACAAACTGCAACTTAAGGAATGACTCATGCAGCAATGTCTAAACTATTCTTTTTAATATTAGTAATTGAATTAATTTTTAATATTAATAACTGTAATATAATACAGGGCTGTAATATTTGGTGGCAACAGTTTGAAAGGTGAATCAAAGCAAAATGCCAAAACGAAGTAATAGTCCTTCTGGGCTAATGCCCTTCGGAGGGGGGAAGAGGGAAAAAAACCCTCTATTTGTTTTCTTTTAATTTTGCATTTTTTTGCTAATACTTCTTTAATTCTATAGACAGACATAATTTCTTGTTCAGTTATTCAAGTCCTGTAATTTCCACATTAAGATTTCACACTACATTGTCAATCGTTGTTCTCAACAAGAACTCTGTCACTATTAGTAGCGATATTTTCTGGATTTAGAGCCATACAACAGATTTCGATACTAGAGAATACGGTCAAAAGTCGTTAATTCGGACATCCATAATCCGGAATGATCTATAATCCGGACCTCAAAGCTAAAATCTTTCTGCGCATGTGCCGCGGAAAAGTGTTAATAAATGAAGATGATATAACACAAGTTTTTTATTGCAATGACAAAACCATAATCATCAATCAGCTAATATTCTGTAGTATCAAAATCTGTTGTATGGCTCTAAGTCCAGAAAATATCGCTACTAATAGTGACAGAGTTCTTGTTGAGAACAACGATTGACATTGTAGTGCGAATTCTTGATGTGGCAATTACAGGACTTGAATAACTGAACAAGAAATTATGTCTGTCTATAGAATCTATAGAAGGATGTCTATAGAGAAGGAAAAGTATTAACACAAAAATGCAAATTAAAAGAAAACAAATAGAGGGTTTTTCCCCCCTCCTTCTTCCTCCCCGAAGGGCGTTAGCCCAGAAGGACTATCAATTCGTTTTGGCATTTTGCTTTGATTCACTTTTCAAACTGTTGCCACCAAATATTACAGCCCTGTATTATGTTTAAAGGAATTAAATAATGAAAATCTGCATAAATGTATGTATGTTTTTCGCATTGTGCTAAAACAACAGCAGTATCTAGAGCCCTCAAATTTTGAATCCTGTAATCCTCCACTAAATATGGGCATCTGGAAGTTCTAATTTGGAATTTTGTTTTATCATCGATTTCATATTTTGTAACACTTTAATGAATTTTTTATTAACAAGATCAGAGATTTCAAAGCGAGCAATGGCAACACTACAGAAAAAAAACATCTCCAGCACACGAGACTGTGTATCAGAAATTCTAAAGATATGCTTATTTTAAAATTATTTTTTGGTATTGTTGAATTGAATTTTATGGTTTAAGTGCAAAGAACATGATATTTAATAAATAAAGATAACACACAAAACGTTTTTAAAAATGCTTCCTTTGGGTATAATGTAAAATCTGAAAGCTTTCAGATTTTTAGCCCAAAGGGTGTTAGCCCAGAAGGGCCATTAATTTTGTTTTGGCATTTTGTGTTGAATCACTAGAAACGGCATATCACTTTTCAAATTGTTGCCACCAAATATTATTGTCCTGAGATTTATCGAGGAAAAGTCCCCGTCCACCTTGCCGAAATACTCCGGCCGTATGAACCAATATCACTTTGTATTATATTTAAAGAAATGAAATAATGAAGAATCTGCATAAATCTATCTGTGTTTCTTGCATTGTGATAAAACAAGGGTACCTACAGCCATCAAATTTTGAATAACATAATTCTCCACAGGATATGGGCATCTGGAAACCCTAATTTGGAATTTGTTTTTATTTTGATTTCATATTTTGTAACACTTCTAGGAATTTTTGATTAACAAACTCAAGGATTTCAAAGCAAGCAATGGCAAGGTAGCTTGCTTTGAAATCCTTGAGTTCAAAAACGAGAATCAACCGAAAAAGCATTTTTCTCTCCATCACAGACTATGTATCAGAAATATTAAAGATACGCTCATTTTAAAATTATTTTGTGATATTGCTGTTGAATTGAATTTTATGTTTTAAGTGTGAAGAACATGATATTTAATAAATATAGGTGTGCTCACCGATGTTAAAGAAGCCCCGTTGGGCTAAGTAAAATCTGAAGCTTTCAGTTCTCCCCCCCCCTCTTTTTTTTTTTTTTTTCCTTTAACTTTTATATATATATATATTCCCTTAAGGTCACAAATCACTATTTCAGATATTTAATTTTATAATTTCTACATGTAATCTTACTAGATTTAAACTGATGATTTGGAAAAATCCCAAATCTGGAACCGCCAGAGTGCCTATGAGTCCGGATCTCAGACTTTGCAGTAAGCAATGACTAGTAGCACTTTGTAAGAAAAATATTTGGGTGCTCGACTGTCTTACACACTCATTTAATTTTCATTCAGCTTCATCGCATAGGCGACAGGGAAACAAAATATTCCTAGTAGATGCATTTGACTGTAGTACTTTTCTTGGAAGATTTTAGAATGTTAGAAGAAACAGTCTGTTTATAAATCCAGTCTTCAAATATGGCACGATTCATGTATGCATTTGGCTGATTTTTGCACCAAACAGGCAAAGAATATGTCAGTCTCATTAGAGAACTTTTTACATTTTTAAACTTGGGGATTTTTCCATTTGCTTATGTGAGCTAAATTATGGTTGTCTAGTGCATTACTGCATGCCAAGTTTGTAATTTTGTACTTCTTTTATAGCTGGAGGATTCTTTTCCTTATCTGGATGCAAGTGTTTTCAAAGGCAGCATTCAAGAATTCAAACCAGACACATCACAGTAGTAAATTTAATCCCATGATATGCTGTCCTTTTTAGTTAGTCTGTGGAAATTTTCCTTGAATTTATTATCATTTTTCAAATCAGATGACAGTTTGTCACCGCAAATATTTAATTGTCTGATACCATAGCACTTCTTCCATCTATTAGGAGTAAATCTTTCTCTTGCAGAATATGTCTTAAAATAGGTGTTCACTTTCCCTTTGCTGCCTACACAAATAAAGAACGTCACTCTCCCCACCATTCATACTTTTACCTCACTCTTTCCACCATTCATACTTTTATTTTTCTTCAATTAGAATGTGCTCTTCTTGCACATCAAGATTTGATTCTGACTTCTTATTTCTCCACCCTATTATAATAGTTCATCTAACATTTAAATCTATGGCAATTTTATCAATGTCTTCCCTCTTTATCCAGTCTCTTTAAAGCAACCAAATTCCATTCCATTATCATATTAATTAGCTTTGTTTTCTTCTTATTCGATATTTTTATAACACTTATAAGCCTGGGTTTAAGCTTAGAAACCATACCCAGAATGAACCAAGAGTTAAGTTTAATGATAGGGTACAACTGTAATCCTTCAAGCATGTGTTCTAACAGAAAGAATGTGAGTTGTGATTGATGCTGGGTACCTGACTTTCTTTAGTCACTTCTTTACTGAAAAGGGAATAAGATAGATTAGAATTTCCCTGAACATAACAAAATTTGTTACCAAATTTGTTAGGGAAATTAAAAAAAATAATATTTATTAAAAAAAATTGCAAATACAGAATAACAAATCTTTGAACTGAACAGGAAAACGTATAGAAATTCAAATGCATAAAGATGTACTTAATTATTGTAATACAGTAATTAAAATATAGGCAATATTCAAAGTAATAACAGTATAGTTAAAACATCCCATAATTTCTGCTTGTTCTGACCAGAGCCTATCAAGTGTACATTTATTTGGTCTTTTTTTAGTCTATTTCTCAAAAAAGAAAGAATTGAACTGTATCTTTCATTGAGTAGGAAAATGTTATAAAAATAATCAGACACTTATTATTTGATCAAGCAACAATCGGTAACAAATATTTCTTGAAATTTTTCTAATGTTTTTTGGATTATTATTATGAGCATCTAAAATACCTTTTGTCTTTATTAAATAAACTGAAATATAATTTTTTATTACTTTTCCATTACATAGAATTCTAATTATGAAATTACTAGTTCCAATTGCTGTAGAGAAATACATTGTTTCTAAAGTTTATATTCCATTTCTTGCCAGAAATGTTCAACTGGGTTTAAATCTAATAATAAAAATTATTCTGAGTGTGGTAAAACAATGAAGCTGTGGCCAGGGTCACAGAGTCATAGCAGTATGCTTAGATTCTTTGGTTTGGCAAAATTTGGAATTGTTTTGCTGGACACTTTTTCTGTGTATATTGTAACTTCATATATTAAAGCACCATTTTCTGCCTTTTCATTAATTTTAATGCATATATAGATCTTTGATGTCTGAAAAGCATCTTTAATAACTAACCTGATTGTGCATTTATATCGACGATTTCTGTTGAAGTTAGTCTTTTTCATAATTTTCCACACAATTCTGTAGCATGTTTCACACTCATTAGTTTTAATTCTGAATGTCTGTTAATTATTTATAAATTCAATGTCTAGCGCATAGAAATCATAAACCTTTGAACATCTATGTTCTAAACTTGACCAACGAATAGGTGAATGAATAAGACTACTGTGAACTGGTAGTTCAACCTGAGTTCATAACTAACTAAATGGGCTGCATGCTCATAAGAAGTGCTCCATGAAGGCCTCAGCAGATATCCCTTTAGCAGATAACTCTCTTATACTTTGCCAATTAAACAATCTAAAGTTTTTCAGTAGGAGAAGCATGTTTAAGACATATCATAAGTTGAATTCCATTGTTACCCTTAATATTAGTTTGCATCAGTATTTGTGACAGCTGTAAATAACTGACCATACACTTATATATTTTATACTATACATTTAATTTCCTGTGCATTAAAATAAGGAAGAATTGAACTGCCAAATAAATTCTTAGAAGTTCCATTGTGAAACTTACTTTAGAATTCTGTTCTTTTTTGTGTTATAGTGTTAAATGACATGTAATTTGTATTGTAAATTGCCTTATTTCAAGTATTTAATATGATTTATAATTACTTATTTGTATGAATATTGTTTCTTATCTTGGCTTTATCACTACCTGTACCTATAATGCTATATTCTGTTGACCTGGGATTAAAATTATTTTTTAGGGTTCGGTTAATATCAATTGCAGCTCAGAAATTCATATCAGATATTGCTAATGATGCATTACAGCACTGTAAAATGAGAGGTGCCGGACACAGCAAAAAAGGAATGGAGGTATCATTTTTCTTTTCTCGTACTATGCTTCTTGAATGTGAAATACATTAAGCTTTGTATTAAAAAAATTATACACTGAAACTTTATTATCATAATTGTTAATTTTATATATTTTTTATATTTTACAATGTAATTATAGAGTTCATAAACCATAAGTTAAAAAATGCATAAGTTGCATGTTATTTTTGCAAAAGTATTACAACATGTGGTAAGCTATCCAAAAGTCTGTCATATTGCATCAAATGAGGATAATTTATTCTACATGTGCTTCACATATAAGAAGATTTAATAAGTTTATAATGGAATTTAAATTAATTAGTGATGCAGAAGTATTGTTCTAGATATTTAAAGCATAGTTTACTAGAGATTCTTGCAAGTAGTAAGTGAAAGGATTTGGTTTATTAATTCTACAGTTTTTGATCATGAATCAAAAACATGCTAATTTACCGACCATCTTAAACTATAGAGTTAATGGTGCTTACATAATAACACCACTTTGGCACAGTTTGGTGAGTTTTTACTGAAGAAAAAGAACAGTGACGTGTAATTTTTAAAATATTTATTATGTACATATTTTACCTTTAAATCAGCTCTTTCTCCTGAAAATGAATGAGTAAACCTGTTCACAAGCAGATGTTTTTTCTTGTTCTAGTGGAAGTTTTGTACAGTCAAAAGTCGTTAATTCGGACACCCATAATCCGGAATGATCTATAATCCGGACCTCAAAGCTACAAACTTTCTGCGCATGCGTCGCGTTGACGCATGTGTGTAAGACCTTTACCGCTGCGAATTTGCGTGTGCGCGTGCACAAAATACATTTACGAATGTGCATTTAATGTAAAACGGACGGGATAAGCTAAGCTAAAATTATCTAATTATCTATTTCAGTTTGCAGATTGCGTTGTTCCTTAATCTTCGGATTGGATCTGGATTATTATTTTTTCCAGACTGTTAGAGCAATTTTATAAAAGTAAGCTGGAACTTTCGATTATGTCAAATAGAATTTCCGACATATATTTACTAATATGTAAAGGATATACAAAGCGAAAGTATCTTTCGGAGTCCATTAAACAAAAAGCGGAATTGCTGCATAAAATGGATAAAGGCATATCCTTTGTTTATCTAAACTTTAACGTTTGTTTATCTAAACTTTGTTTATCTTTAACGCCAGGGCAGCGTGCAATGAATTGGAAGTTGATCTGCCAACACTATCCTTATCTTAAGGGCAGATGTTTTTATTTTATTTGGCTTATAATTGCTTATTCAATGTAGTATTTCATCTCGATGTACTCCCTCTTTGATATGATTTAAATCAAATGCCTCGTCATTATAATTCGCTTCCGATAGCGAAGAAAGTGACAGAGGTATTGAAAACGAAAAAATTTCGAATGACAAATTAGTCGGTATTCTCGACACAGCAATTATAGGACTTGAACAGCGGAACTTTGTAACTGAACAAGAAATTATGTCTGTTTATAGAATTAAAGAGAATGTATTATCACATAAAAAACGAAGCAACTTAAACAACTTACATTGAAAGAAATGTTTAATAAGTAAACAAATAAATATTAAGCTCTTTTTTGTAAATTTTGATACCTTTTAGATCATAATTGTTCTTTATTTCGTAAATTACGGTTTCATATTTTTTTATTTTATAATTTCTGCATGCCATTTTACCAGATTTAAACTGATGATCTATAATCTGGAAAAATCGATAATCCGGAATCGCCGAAGTCCCGACGAGTCCGGATTAACGACTTTTGACTGTAGTAATCATGCTACAAATAGATTCAAGTCAATGTACCTTTAATGGTCTTGTGGCAAAATGCTGTGTTCCCATAAAAATCTTACTGCACTTCTTCCACTGCAAGATAATCCCAAAAGTATATGTTTTAAAGTTGTCTTTAAAACAAAAATATATATATAATGTATCCTGATTTGTCAATAAAAAACATTGGAATTCGAAATATAACAAAAAGAAAGCATATGAAAATGGTGACATTGCTTATTTATTTAAATGCCTTTCTTAAGCGCATGGTTGCCAGAGTTTGGTGCATTCTGGAAATCTGGCAAATTCTACTAAGGTAGTTGTTTTAACGTGTAAGTTCCGAATTAATAAGCAAATACATCCTTGATTTCACAAAACTGTAAATATTAATGCTATGCCCAGAAATGCTAGCCAATAGTCACTGTTAGTATCCAAAAATTTAAAACATCTTATAAGCAGATATACTTGTTTTGTTGGGATACCTTCATACCCCACCAAAAAAAGATGACTGCATTTAAAATTTTCCTTACAGATAAAGCTTGCTTTCTTTTAAATGTAAATAACAAAATATGAAATAGTCGTCAGTCATCAAACTATTCTTCTTACTTAAGATCTATGTGTTTAGAAAATTTGAATTGATTGTGCCATATTTCTTCAGAGCAAAGTATTGGATCTCTACAGTAAATAGATAGAGATTTATTGTTTAAGTTTGGAGATTGTTAAAGGAGAATAAACATTTTGCATGCTTTCATTAAGAATAGTACTCTATTGCCCAGTCAATTTCATAGAGACAGGCAAGATAGCACCATCTACTACGTCATAAATGTTCTTAAAAGGAAGGGGGGAACGCCAGAATAAAAGGAACATTTAAAATATGTGACTGATGGGTTTTTTAGAACATCAGTAGTGAGATTGTTAATAGTTTATTTTAGTGTATTTGCCATCCTGTATAAATTGACGGTGCTGGTTTTAGTGTCATGAATAAAGTTTATGTGTTTATATGAAAAGATTTCTGATTAGTGTAGACAAGAAATATGTCAATGATGGTGTCCTACAAATAAATGTATAATAGAGCTTTTGTTGAATTTTTTCCAGCAACTATATTATTTTTCATATATTAGAACTTTCATTGCCAGATTTCCTGCCTATAGATTACTTCCTGTGAGATATTTAAGTGATTATATTCAATCATATTGCCAGTAAAAACAAATATTCTTATATAGAGAAATTATGTTGCCTGGGTAGCAGGATATAATATAAAATCCATTTTCTTGTAAATTTATATTTTTTATCTCTGTCGCTTACGAATTTTTTTTTATCACTTTCTGTAGTTCAGCATTTTTTACTCTAAGAAGTTTTCAGTAAAATTATATGTTAAGACCCAAAAAGGATTTATTATTTAGGCCCTTTACCATCAGCTTTTATTTGCACCATTTCATTTTTACATTGGTATATTAAATTTTCTAATTTTTACTCCTTGAGTTATTTATCAGTTAAGAGTACAGTTTGGTAATAACACTAAACTCTAAAAAAATTCTATCAAACAATGCAGCATCACTTATATGAGTAAATTTTTGACTGAGATCTTATTTATTCACCCAAATTCATTTGAGTTGTAATCTGATGTAAATGCATAATTTTTCATCACTTGTGATGATGAAATCAAGCCAGATAATGATGGGGTAGTGAGGAAGCAGCAAATTCTGTGCATTTAACCTGTGGTGCTTTTATGTAGTTTCAGTACCCTCCTTTATGTACCCCTGCAGGAGAAATTTTCTGCCAAGTCCTGAAAGTACCAGAACACTTCTAGCAACCCACAGATATAAATAAAAAGTATGCCCAGAGCTTTAATATAACTGAACTACAGTTCCAGCAGAAAATTTTGATCTAAAAAATTTTATTTCAATAATAAATAAGTCTTAAAGAATAATTTAAGTTTTGAATGCATGCTTTACTTTCCCTGGGAAATAAATTCTTGGACAGAGACCGAGACTTTTAAGGAAAGAAATGTCACCCAAAATGTCAAAGGCTTATTCTTAAGAAAGTCTTGTGAATTTATAACAGAGAGTAAGTGTCCAATGCTAGTTAGTGACTTCCCACAGAGAAGAGCAAGCACCTGCAGACTTTTTGGAGCAATGTAACCAAATACAGGGTATACGTGAACAAATGTATTTATACAGCATTGCATTATAAATTTAAATGTCTCTTATGTAGCAATAAGTTTTTTGGTGGGAAGTTATTTATTTCCTAGTTTCTGCCACTAAAATGATATTTTTAAATCTGAACATGTGATAAAATGGAGGTGGGTGAAAATGATGAAACTAACAACCAATTTTAGTGAACATCTAAAAAATAAGTAACTAATTAAAAGCAATAAATCACATGCTTCATGATTAATGTTTTTTGTTGTAATATACTTCTACTGCTATATATGTTACAGGACAAGAGGTATGTATTAACTAATGAAGATCTCAAGCCAACACTCATGGAGTATGGAATAAATGTAAAAAAAATGGACTTTTTTGCATAAATGGTATCAAAATTATGTATATATTTTTATTTTAAAACAGTTTATTGTGATTTAATTTAAATTTTCTTGTAAATAAATGTATTCTTGTTACTTCCTGTGTGGTGTATTCAAATGTTCTGGATTGAAGTTTGTGTCAATGAATTAATTTCTAATTTGATATGTTAATTTTTAAGCAGAAAGAGCTATAGCTGTAAAAGTATATTTTGTTTTAAATTGTAAGGTGCAAATTTGGTACTTATGTAGTATCCCATCAACCATGAAAGGAAATTAGCATCAACTACGGATAAGCATGATTTCACAACACATTCGTAACATCTATGATTTTGTTTGATGTAACCATGATTGTTACTTGATAAGCCACCTTTCAATGTATGGATGTAAATTAACTGTTATTTTAGTATTATAAAAGAAATTATTAAAATTTGGGGCCTACCTTCTGCAGAATAAAATGTAGTGGGTTATCTTCAAAGTTATGTGGTCTTACTTTCAAAAAAGTGTATATTAATGGACATGGTGTAGTCATCTAAATATGGCTGATAAAACAGTAACAGATTGTAAAAACTACTTGCAGGAAATTTGTACTCATAGCATTCTAATCAGAACTTCTGATAAAATCGGAGACCTAAGAATATAATAAAAATCGACAAAAAGCTTTTTTTACTAAGCACAAAAATTAAGCTGGTTGAATACTGTTCATTTATTAACTAAGAAAGAGTCAGTTCTTTCAGAATTCTGGAGGAACGATTGGCATAACTGTAATTGGATCTCTGCCAACTTTCATGGTCAACGGGAAAATGCATTAAGTACCCAAAATTTCAGTAAAATTCTCAAGAACAAAAATATCCGTAATATTGACTTAAGAAGATTAGAATTCATATTTAGCGTGATTCATATTATTTCAGTTAATGGATAAAAATTCTATCAAACAATGCAGCATCACTTATATGAGTAAATTTTGACTGAGATCTTATGCAGTTTATTTTTATTCACCCAAATTCATTTGAGTTGTGATCTGATGTAAATGCATAATTTTTCATCACTTGTGATGATGAAATCAAGCCAGATAATGATGGGGTAGTGAGGAAGCAGCAAATTCTGTGCATTTAACCTGTGGTGCTTTTATGTAGTTTCAATACCCTCCTTTATGTACCCCTGCTGGAGAAATTTTCCGCCAAGTCCTGAAAGTACCAGAACACTTCTAGCAACCCACAGATATAAATAAAAAGTATGCCCAGAGCTTTAATATAACTGAACTACAGTTCCAGCAGAAAATTTTGATCTAAAAAATTTTATTTCAATAATAAATAAGTCTTAAAGAATAATTAAGTCATTTTAAATCGGTGGTTAGGGGAGCCGACTGCAATGCTAAAGGGCACAGGTTCGAATCCCGGAGAAGGTATGGTTGTAACTGTCTGTTCCTTCATAGGAGGCGAAGGTGGCCCACCTATTAGATGCCTCCATAATAAAGTCACCACTGCTTCTAGTCTTAGAGGCCGTCTCTGATGACTTGTGCCCGCCTAGTGGGGAAAAAAAGAAAAATGTGTTTGCATGGCCTTGACTCTGACTGGTGATGCTGTGTGCTGCCATTCCATTGACTGACATTTAGACTCTGGGGTTCATGTGTGAAGCCCATGTGTCATCTCCTGTGACAATCCTTTCTAAAAATTGATCATATTTCTTATGATATTGGTCCAAAAAATCCAGAGTTGAAGCCAGTCTTTTCAAATGATGTTCCTCAATGGACCTCAATAATGCATACGTTGGGCTCCCAGGCCAACAGTTTGTGAAACACAACTTTTCAGAGGCAATTTTGTACAAAATTGTTCCACCAGAAATTCCAGTGCTAAAGTTTAAATTGTGAATCACCGGTTTTCACAAATCTCGTTGCCCAAAGCATTGACCAAATCTTCTGTGATCACTCAACCAAAATCACTCATAAAAACACTCAACCAAGTTATATATATATATTCGGCTTACTGGAAAGTTATGTCCGTTTTATGACAAAAAATTTTGACACGTAAGCACATGTTTATTTACCGTATGTTTGACTATGTATACATACTAAAGTAGCAAGTTAACTAAATCAAACTTGATTCACATTAGTCTTATGTGTGAAGCAATAGTGTACCCATGGCCACTGATAAAGTTCATTTACGCCACTGTATTTTATACGAATTTCAACAAGGAAGAAATGCTACAGAAGCATGTAGAAATTTATTGAAAGTGTTTGGTGAAGGTACAGTTTCTGATAGGGCATGCAGAAAATGCCTCTAAAAATATGAAAGATTTCGAACTTTCTGATAAGCCACGTTCTGGGTGATCATCTTTAATCGGCGATGGTGTTGTTATGACCATGTTGGAGCAAGATCCTTTTCTGACAACATCGGAGATCGCAGAAAGGCTTAATGCAGCTCAGCGAATCATTTCGAACCATATTTGGAATATAGGATCAGTGTGGAAATATTCAAGGTGGATGCCGCATGAATTAAGTCAGAAGAATTTGGATGATCGAGTTGTCATATGCACATCTCTGCTTGCTCCGAACAAAATGAAGCCCTTCTTGAACTGGATGATAACTGGGAATAAAAAGTGGATCACCCATGGAAACATTGTACGAAAAAGGGCATTTTGTGAACCCAGAAAACCTAGCCCTCCCACCTCTAAACCAAATTTGACCCTGAATAAGGAGAATGTTGTGTATATGGTGAGGCATTCGAGCACCTTTTAAGACCGAACAAAAAACTCAATTCGGAGAAGTACTGTCAGCAATTAGACAATTTAAAGACAACAGTTCAAGAAAAGAGGCCGGCGATTTTCAACAGGAAGGACATCTTACTGCATCATGATCATGCCAGGCTACATACTGCTTTGGGGACTCGTCAAAAAATTGCAGAAATAGGCTGGGAAATTCTGTCACATACACCATATTCCCTAGACTTAGCACCCTCTGACTATCACTTGTTTCTGTCCTTACAAAATTTTTTGAAGAGCAAAAATGAAGTAGATATCAAACAAGCACCAGCTCAATTTTTTGCATTAAAAGTTACATCATTTTTCAAAAATGGGATATACAAATTGTCCTCACGCTGGCATGAAGTCATTAATAATAATGGCAATTGTATTATTTTAAGAAAGTTTATTGACGGTAAGAAAAATTTGCATTTTGTTTTATTTCAAAAACAGACACGATTTTCCGATAGACTGTATGTATTGAATGATCTAAAATTCATTGAATTTGAAAACAAGTTTTTCTAATACTTGTGCAATAGCTGCAAAGTAAGATAATAATAATTTATTTCTAAAGAAATATTGATTATATTACCTCCTAATATAAATTTAGTAGAATGTATCAAAAAGAGGGAACCCACATGTAGGAAGTTTAATTCCAAAAATTGTGTTTTAACGGAACTTGAATGTAAACCGTGAAAAAAAAAAAACTTTTTAAGGGGACTTTAATTTAAATCATGAATAACAAAATTTCAAACTTTGAAAAAGAAAGTAAAAAACAAGTAATTATCGCTCTTGATCGGAAATTAGTTGACTTTTCAAGCGGAACAAACCAACTCCCGTTCAGTGAACAATAATTAATAAATGCGAAGGTGTTTCGTCTTTTACTCAAGTAAGAATGATGATGCCAAACTGGAAAATTAAGTTTGGCCAAAATTGTAGAAGTGATGGGATTATAGCCAAAGTAGAGTATCAAAAAACTCATTCTGAATGAAGCATTTTCGCTAATACAAGATTCTTTAGAAATTTTGAGTGAATAGCCAATTTATGTAGTGAAATTTACAGGATACTTGAGTAAATGTCCCCCGACACCTTCACTTTTATGCATGTTAATTCAAGGCTATTTTTATAAAAAAAATAAACAGTAGTAATCTTAACCGGAATTATGAAATAAAACTCAAAGTAATTGAAATAAACATGAGAAAAGTAAGAAACATAACTATGTTATCTTTGCAAAAACAAATCAAATAAACGTTGAAAAATTGAAATATATATGTAGTAAGAAAGTAAAATGTGAAATGTACATGAAAATATAAAAGGCCAGAAAATGCATTAATTAACTTACGTCCTTTCTAGTGGGATGTTGGTAAAGTGTTTTTTTCTGTGTCTTACTCAGAGGGGGTGTGTGTTCGAAATTCCGTTATCGGTAGTGGGAATGCTTTTGAATTATTACAGGCGGTGAAACTTTTGAGAAGTTATTTTTGGGACGTGGGAGAGACTAGGAATTGGAACAAACCTCCCTCCAACATTCCTAGTCAATATTTCTTTAGTAAATAAATTATATATATATACATATAGATTGTTGTGTTTTTGTATGGGTTCGTGGCTTTGGAGTGATTAACGACAACACTTGATGAAGAATGAAATCAAAATTTATTAGGCAGTATTACTTAGGACAGCTTCAAAAACACGTTTATGGTCATCGAAAACTACAACAAACATGCTGAAACAATCAGCAGTCACAGCCTTCAGACTACAACGGTAGAGACAGCTTCACGGCAAAGCACCAAAGTACAGCTACCGACTCGATTCAGTCGCTCTCGGAATTCTACGTACCCTCGACACTCTCCTTGCTACAACTCACGATACACTTGGCAAAATACTCGAAAGACTCACGATACTCCAACGACCAATTTCTTAACAATATGTACTATTACAGTATGAATTTTTTTTTTTATTTTAAAAGAAAATTATTCCAATCTTATTTCCATGCAACATGCTGCTGAAAATGAAACAGTTATAGACAAAATGTAAGAAATTTAGAACCGAATCTACAAAGGCCCAAAGGAAATTAAATTCCCATAAAATATTAAAGAAATGTGAAAAACCACCAAAAAAAAAAAAAGAGTGCTAATAACGTAATAATTGTGAACTGAAACTTTTAACTCAAACCAAAACCTTTCTCTTTGTGTGCTTCCATCTTACCTAACTATGCACTTCAGCTTCGCTCTCTGCACTGCTAGGATGTAATTTCGCTGTCTTTCTTGCTATCGCTATAATATCAAAGATGTAAATGTTCTTGAATAGGCTCTATTAGAATGCAAGTGAATTGTGGCTACAAACGTCAGTTGCAA